GATTTTCTTAAATAAGTCCGGAAACCTTTTATGAAGCTAACATTTTTTTTCATATTCAAATTATGTTTAGTCTTACTATTTAAAACCCGTTTTGAAAAGTTAAAAAAGTTAAAAAATGTGAGTAGGGTGACTAGTTAAAATTTTTTTGTGTTAGTGGTGCTATTATTTTTTTCGCAGCTGTATGTTCTTATGGTGGCAATTTGTATTTACCTATATACATGAATTCTTTAATACAACGACACCGCGAATTCTTTAGGGCAAGAGGAACGAGTATTGACCATCATAAAAAATTTGTTTGTCCTTTTTTTTATAACCAATTAATACCATACATGAATGCATCAACACAATGATCAAGCGATAACGTTTTTAAAACCGTCCAAAGGGCCGATCTGCAAGAATACCATTATATTTTTCTCAAAAAGAACCAAATTTAAGGGGTTATATACCTTTTTGAGCAAAAAAATTGAGGGAACTTTGGATTTTTTTTCAGGTGTGGAGCAATTATTTTATGACACTGAAGTTATTATTTATTGATAGTACATGTTTTTATCAAAACAACAAGCGTTTGTTCTTGAAAAAATATGAATAATTTACGAAATTATGGCGATTCTCTCGGAACCCTTTTTTTTTTAAAGCGGCTTGCGGTGACCACGATGGAAGTCCAGCAGGTCAACTGAATTCAAAAAAGCAACAAATTTGTATTAGTATAGTATTATTTCCAGTTCGTGAACGATTAATTTCTAGAATATTTGGTTTTTTCTGCATACAGTAACAATTTTTCCAAAAAGTTAATTTTTTGAGTTCAAAGAATTTTATTAAAAAACAAGAGGGAACGTTATAGTCGGATGCCCCGACTATCAGATACCCGTTACTCAGGTAAAGGGAGTGCGAGGGAGATGGAGATAGAGATAGAAAACGTTGATCACGCATAACTTTTTAACGAATGGTCCGATTTGAAAAATTTCTTCTACATTTCGATAGGTATTGATAAACACAATAAAACTGCATTTTTACTTTTCCAAAATATTAAAATTTTTAAAATCGTATATAAGCGATGGTGGGCGTTAGAGGGGGCGTGGCACCATTTTGAAACAAACTTGCGCTGCGTAGGAATTCCTAAAATCTGCATGCAAAATGCCAATCTTCTAGCTTTTATAGTTTCTGAGATCTCAGCGTTCATACAGACAGACAGACGGACAGACGGACAGACGGACAGACAGACGGACAGACGGACAGACGGACAGACGGACATGGCTAGATCGACTCGGCTAGTGATCCTGATCAAGAATATATATACTTTATGGGGTCGGAAACACTTCCTTCTCCCTGTTACATACTTTTGCACGAATACAATATACCCTTTTACTCTACGAGTAACGGGTATAAAAATGATCTGCGAAATCAAAATCGGCGCATAAAAAACTGAATCGTTCACGAACTCGGCACAATCATTACAAATAATTTAAAAAAAATTGAAGAAGATCGATCAAATAGTTCTTGTGCAATCGTGGTCACAGCGAAGGCACTTTTGGAAAAACACGACTTTGAGATAATCGCATTCAAAGTTGTACGTTGAGTATATGCAACTATTGAAGTCGAGCAGACAAAACGCTGTTTTCCTATAGAACTATTATTCGGATCTCTATGTGTTGTGTATGCGAAGTGGGCAGCTCTCTACCAGTCAGTCTGTACGCAATCGTCAACCAATGCAGGTCTCCCTGCAGCAGCGGTCAGGCCATCCACTGGCCTTATATCAACTATAACCTCTATCATCACACCGTACGTTAAGTCTTGCACTGTTTTATCAACTTGCTATATTGTGAATAAACTATTAAATATATATGCTTGCGCATACACAAAATTGGCGACGAGGATGGGATTTCACTAAGCGTGTGAATAACTGTGCAAGTCTGAGTCCAAGTTAGATTACAACAGCAAGAACGAAGAGAAGGGGAAAAGAGAACAGCAAAGAACGGTATCGAACAGAATAACTCCGCCGATATTTCAGCTCAGCGGGATGAGCTTCTGTTTTTTCTTTACTTGTACAGATGGACAAGAAGATAATTGTGAAACAATCTGAAAAGGAAAACGCCGATAGGGTCAAAGAAGAAGAAGAATCCGACGATAGACTGGAATCAGAAACGAAAAAGCGTGTGTCAAGCATTATTATGGCTTCTGTTGGAAGTCTGGAATCGTTTGACTTAACTACTCCCTCAAAATGGGTTGCCTACAAGGAGCGTTTCGAACTGTATTTACTGGCCAACGACATCGAAGATGAATCGCGGAAGAAAGCGGCGTTTCTCACACTGGCCGGAGCGCCATTGTACGAACTCCTTACGTCACTGGCATCTCCCAGGCAAATCAACGAGTTGAAATTGTCAGAAATATACCACGTCTTAACCGCTCATTTGTCTCCCCGCCCATCCGAAATTGCTGCGTGCTAACATTTCCATAATCGGGACCAGCTTTCCGACGAATCAGTGGGGGCGTACATGGCGGCCTTGCGGAGTTTGGCTGTGGGCTGCAATTTCGGAAGCGCCCTAGATCGAATGCTTCGTGATCGTTTTGTTTGCGGAATGCGGGATGAAGGCCTGCAAAGAAGTTTACTCGCAGAAAATGGACTTACTGTGCAGCGGGTTTTGGAGCGAGCTGTAACGAGTGAGGCAGCAGCCATCAGTGCCTTATCTATGCGGAAACAAAGTGATTCCCACTCAGATCCAAGCGGTGAGTCTATTCATGGCATTCGCACAAGTCGTAATTTAAAGCCACGTACATCAGTCGTACCCGAAGGACCTTGCGCGGGTTGCGGAGGCCAACACATTCGCAAGAAATGCCCTTTCCGCAACGCCACCTGCCACGGCTGCGGTCGCACCGGCCATATACAGAAGGTGTGTCGCAGCGCTCCTCAAACACGGTCTTCGAGTTACGGGTCTCCAACGCCAAGTTCCCTATCGAACCGAAATGGGACATCTCGTGTAAGCCAGATATTGCCGCTGGTCAGCCAAAAGAAATCAGTCTCAATCGCAATCAACGGCCGTACTTGCGTATTTTAAGTAGACTCTGGATCACCGGTGACCATTATGAAGGAATCGACGTTCAGGTACATCTGGCCAAACGAAAAGCCAGATCTAACACGGTGTCATTTAGAACTTAATGATTACCAGCAGAACCCAATCCCGGTCAAGGGGATAACTGATACAACCATATACTATAATCGGCGTCAGATCGAAAACTTGCCCCTGATCGTAGTCTCTGGAGTCGGAGTCAACCTATTAGGCTGTAACTGGTTCGAGCCTTTGGGGATCCGTATCGAAGGAATTCATGGTGTCACCTGCGGTAGTAGCATATCATCGGTATTAACGAAATTCGAGCATCTGTTTTCCACGGAGCTAGAACGATACACCGGGCCATCAGTGGTACTCCACGTCAATCCAGAAGTTCCTCCAATCAGGTTGCCGCCACGTCGCATTCCCTTTGCCCTTAAAATGTCTTATGAGGAGGAACTCGATCGCCTGTGCGCACAAGGAATTTTAGAGCCGATAGAGTATTCCGAATGGGCCACACCTACGGTTCCTGTCATTAAAAAAGACGGATCAATTCGCATTTGTGGAGACTACAAATCGACATTGAACACAGCAGTCCTACCACATTGCCATCAAATTCCGGCCATAAACACACTTCTAGCATCAATAGAAGGCGGGTCAGTACTCGCAAAAATTGATCTAGCGCAAGCCTCTCAGCAGCTGTCAGTAAATGACCGTTCAGCAATGATGCAGACTATCTCCACACACAAGGGCGCATTCAAGGTCACCAGGCTGCAATTCTGGATATCATCAGCCCCCGGAATTTTTCAGAGCTGCATAGAGAATATCCTTCAGAATATACCGGGAGTTTTGCCGTATTTCGACGATATTGTGGTCATGGGAAAGTCTGACGAGGAGTTGTCAGTCAGACTTAACGAGGTCCTTTCTCGTTTCGATAAGACCGGTCTTCGCCTGCGCAGAGACAAATGCCAGTTTGGAGTCCCTACCATCGAGTTTTTGGGGTTCAAAATCGACGCCCTAGGCATACGGCCCTCGGTGGACAAGGTCAAGAAACAACTTCAAGCCTTCCTAGGGCTTACTAATTTTTATCATTCATTTCTTCCTAAAAAAGCTACAATTGCAGAGCCATTGCATCGCCTTCTAAATAAAAATTCTTCATGGAAATGGTCGCATCAACACCAGGAGGCGTTCAAAAAGTTAAAGCAGCTCATCGTCTCAGATGCAGTATTGGTCCATTACAGCGAGAATTTACCCTTGGTTTTGGTCTGCGATGCCTCTCCGTATGGAATAGGAGCTGTACTAAGTCACAAAATGGAAAACGGAACGGAAAAGCCAATAGCATTTTATTCACGAACGTTGTCTAAGGCAGAGCGGAACTATTCACAAATCGACAGAGAGGCGGTCGCACTAATTTCCGGCGTTAAAAAGTTCCATAACTACCTGTATGGCCGTCCATTCACCTTGATCACAGACCATCTCCCGCTTCTAGGCATATTTACCGCATCAAAGGCAGTGCCAAACATCATTTCGAACCAAATGCTGAGACGAGCCATTTTCTTGAGTGCATAGGATTTCACTATCATTCACCGTCCTGGAGCGAAAATAAGTAATGCCGATTTTTTGAGCCGTTGCCCGATATTGACCGAACCGCAAACACCTACCAAGGAGGACGTTTTAATGATCGAATGGGCATCCCAACCTATTGTCAGCGCACAGTCACTCGCCTCGCATACTGCCAAGGAGCCAGTCCTTAGGAAAGAACTTAGCTGGATGCTAAGGGGGTGGCCCAGTACCAAAATTAATCGAGCCGATGATCTGTACCCATACTTTATGCGACGGGATGAGTTATCAGCTAACAAGGGAGTCTTGGTCTGGGGACATCGCGCCTTAATTCCCACGACTGATCGGAAAGAGATACTAGCCGCTCTTCACGCGCATCATCCTGGAATCGTAAAAATGAAAGCATTGGCGAGGAGCTACGTTTGGTGGCCAAATATTGATGCGGATATCGAGCTCACAGTTAAGCGCTGCCAAGCCTGTCAGGAAACTCGAAATGAGCCGCACAAATCGGAAGTACACTTTTGGGAATCTACTAAGAAACCTTGGTCGCGTCTTCATGTTGACTTTGCAGGACCGTTTCAAGGCAAGGTGTTCTTTTTGGTCGTTGATTCTTTCTCAAAGTGGCTCGAGGTTAGCGTTGTCAAGTCTACATCAGCAGCCTGCGCCATCGCGTTCCTTCGCCAGCTTTTTGCTACTCATGGAATTCCGGACGAGTTGGTTTCGGATAACGGAACCGCGATTACATCTGATGAATTTAAAAAATTTATGAGCAACAACATTATTTGCCATATCCGATCGGCACCTTTTCACCCGGCGACCAATGGGCAAGCTGAGCGGATGGTCCAAAGCACAAAAGGATTCTTAAAGAAGATGGAACGAGATACTGACATAAATCTAGCTCTGGCCCGATATCTGTTCAGCCAACATTGCACACCGCATTCGACAACGGGACATTCGCCAGCAGAGTTGCTCCTGAAGCGGGAACTCAAATCATTTCTTGATAAGATTCAGCCAAACGAAATCATATTGGGTAAGGACTCTGAACCAGTCAATAAGAAGAGTTTTGTTACAGGTAGCCCAGTCTGGGTCAGAAACTATTCAAGCGGCCGGAAATGGATTGAAGGTCGCGTATCGGAGCAAACTGGACCTATATCTTACACAGTGGACCTCGATGATAGCCGTGTGGTTCGACGTCATCTAGACCAGCTTCGAGCTCGCGAACCTAATACCCCGTCTTCGTTTTCTGACGACTCTTCCCCCGTTCCAGACCCAGTATCACCGTCGATGGGTCACGCCGTAAATACAGAGAACTCGCCAGCGCGACTAGCGTCAGTTTTGGAGCCGATCCAAGCGGAAGTGACACCGCGAAGATCCAGGCGTCAGCGACAACCCCCACAATATTACAATGCATCTGGGTGTTAAGGGGTGTTGTGTATGCGAAGTGGGCAGCTCTCTACCAGTCAGTCTGTACGCAATCGTCAACCTATGCAGGTCTCCCTGCAGCAGCGGTCAGGCCATCCCCTGGCCTTATATCAACTATAACCTCTATCATCACACCGTACGTTAAGTCTTGCACTGTTTTATCAACTTGCTATATTGTGAATAAACTATTAAATATATATGCTTGCGCATACACAAAACTATGAAAATTTGGGCAAATGTTCTCTAAGGGATATATTTTAAGATTCAGCAAAAAAAAATTTTTTGTTTTTTTTGAAAAAAAAAAAAGGTATATAACCCCTTAAGGGATTTTTTGGTGCATACTTTTTGAATACTAACATCCCTTTTATTTTTCCAATGTATTTCCACTCTGCAGGGGTATATAAACGTCAGCTGGCCGACGTTACTTAATTTCTTGCTTTTTTTTTAAATTCTGAATTTTAAATTAAATTTTATCAAAATCGGACTGCCATATTTGCACTTCCACGAAAAAGTCCACCAAGCCAAAAACCGTTAGCCTTGAATAAAACATATTTCCCCATGGTTTTGCCCCAGTTGTTAGTTTCTAATTAGTTTGATCCTCAGCTAAACTAAAAAAATATAGTATGACATCAAAAATTAACCTCGATGAATGCTATATTTTTGGATTCGTTACGAATTCCCAAGTTAAACTGCGTTTTCCAAAGAGTTCCCCGACGCAAGGATTCTTAGCAAAGGACCTCAAAGTTCGAAAAATGCTGAAATTGACCAACTTTGCGGAGCTCTCAGAGGCAAATGGATGCATGGCTTGGTTCGAAGTTAAAGTTTTTTAAAAGATATACCCTTTATCTTTCAAACCCCATACATAAAATAATTTTAGGATTTTTTTAAGGCAGAAATAAATTCCAAAAAACATAGTCAAAAAACTGAAAAACATACAGCTGCGGTCAAAATAGTAGCAGTGTTGCCGCCTTGTGTTTTTAAAAGTTTCATGTTGTAATTATTTCTTATCCAATTAGTCTAATAGTAAAATTATAATCAATACAATATTACCGCATCTGTATACTTTTATGTTTTTTGACTATGTTTTCTAGAATTTGTTTCTGCCTTAAAAAAATCTTTAAAATTTTTTAAGTATGGGGTTTAAAAGATAAAGGGTGTATCTTTTAAAAAACTTTAACATCGAATCAAACCATGCATCCATTTGCCTCTGAGAGCTCCGCAAAGATGGCCAATTTCAGCATTTTTCGAACTTTGAGGTCCTTTTGCTAAGAATCCTTGCGTCGGGGAACTTTTTGGAAAACGCAGTTTAACTTGGGAATTCGTAACGAATCCTAAAATATAGCATCCATCGAGGTAAATTTAAAAAGCACTAAAAATGCTGCACAGTGTTATTTTTATGACATATGGACCTGTCTTCTGTTGTTAATTTATCCTATACCTGAATGCAAATATGTGCAATTTTTCGGAACTAAATGTCTCATTTACATTTACAGCCAGAAATTTAAGGCTAGGGGTAAAGAAAATCGCTTTACAAAACGGTGAGACAAAATATTCCGTGCTAATTGTCCCAAGCGAATGTATTCCAAACTACATAAAAAAAATTGCAAAAAATGTTTGAGTAAAACTAAAACCATTTCACAGCGACAGAACACCAGTTTACAAAAAAAAATTGATCAAATACGCACTTCATGAAACCTTTCTTTTCTGGTAAGGTGGATCTTTCTGAATAAGAAAAGGGCACTTACAATTTTTGTATGGTACCAATTTTTTTTAAAGTGTAAAAAACGTTTTAGACACTTTTTTAATTTCTAACTTGAGCTGCGATTAACCGATTTTGGTTATAAAAGTTATAAAACCAATTTCGGTTTTTAGGCGTGTATTTTTAACGAAGCCATTTATGCCAGCAATTTTTCGTTTTTTCCCATTTTTTCAAGTTTGACAAATTGTAGCTTCTAAACTAATGAATGGATCTCAACGCTCTGTATAAGAAAGTGAGAGGGCATTCTAAGGTGTGTTTCAAAATTATACACCATAAATTTCTTAAATATTTTTTTTATTAAAAGTCGTATTAAGGTGATTGTGTTTGTATTTAATCGTTATAACAAAACAAAGAATTTCATGTGAAAACAATATCAAATAAAAACACCTCTTAACGAGGTAAAAAACTAGTGACGATCGCACCTTCAACATACAAAAGTTCTGATTTCAACATACGTGACGAAAAATTATTACACTCGTCATTAAATAGACTTTCTAATATTTTCTCATTCGGCCCGCCCTAGCAAACTATTCCAGCCTTTTTCCCTTCACAGGCATTCCCCCTGCCTTCGCCGGTTCGGCAGCGTGCCGAATGAGAAAATATTAGAAAGTCTATGAACGCTGAGATCTCGGAAACTATAAAAGCTAGAGGATTGACATTTTGCATGCAGATTGTAGGAGTTCCTACGCAGCGCAAGTTTGTTTCAAAACAGTGCCACGCCCCCTCTAACGCCCACAATCGCTAATATACGATTTTAAAAATTTCAATATTTTGGAAAAGTAAAAATGCAGTTTTATTGTGTTTATCAATACCTATCGAAATGTAGAAGAAATTTTTTAAATCGGACCATTCGTTAAAAAGTTACGGCGGATCAAAGTTTTTCTCCATCTCCTTCGCACTCCCTTTAGCTGAGTAACGGGTATCTGATAGTCGGGGCACCCGACTATAGCGTTGTCTCTTGTTTTTTACGTCGTTAAGAGGTGTTTTTATTTGATATCAGAAGTTTTTGTTTGTTTACATTTGCTCTCATAGGAGCTAATATATACATTTAAATTTAAATTGGTCAATCATAATTTGTAAGCCATTGTATTTAAACAAATTAAGTTAAAAAGGCGTTTAAGTATTTCAAAATACCTTTTAAACGAGGTATAGCACATGTCTGTACCTTTAGTAGAGTAGAACTTAAAAACTAACGAAAATACCTTTTAAACGAGGTATAGCACATGTCTGTACCTTTAGTAGTGTAGAACTTAAAAACTAACGAAATTTAGCTATTTTTAGCTTTTTTCCCGCTAAAGAAGAGGGTTTTTCCAAAAGTCGTCGAACAAAAGATTCCTATATGGAACTGTTAAATGGAAATTAACTGATTTCATGATTTCAACACTCAGGAAGCGTTAGTTGTTCTGAGCTGGCAAAAGTGGCCATTGTCGTTTCTTAATAACTTTTAAATGTGATTTTTTACAGTAACATGATATATACCAAAATTTAAGGAATCTCAAGGGCTATACAGTTTAAAGTTGTAAGGAAAATCGTTAGAGCCGTTTTTGAGAAAATTAAAAAAAAACTAAAAAGAAAGTTAACATCGAATCAAACCATGCATCCATTTGCCTCTGAGAGCTCCGCAAAGATGGCCAATTTCAGCATTTTTCGAACTTTGAGGTCCTTTTGCTAAGAATCCTTGCGTCGGGGAACTTTTTGGAAAACGCAGTTTAACTTGGGAATTCGTAACGAATCCTAAAATATAGCATCCATCGAGGTAAATTTAAAAAGCACTAAAAATGCTGCACAGTGTTATTTTTATGACATATGGACCTGTCTTCTGTTGTTAATTTATCCTATACCTGAATGCAAATATGTGCAATTTTTCGGAACTAAATGTCTCATTTACATTTACAGCCAGAAATTTAAGGCTAGGGGTAAAGAAAATCGCTTTACAAAACGGTGAGACAAAATATTCCGTGCTAATTGTCCCAAGCGAATGTATTCCAAACTACATAAAAAAAATTGCAAAAAATGTTTGAGTAAAACTAAAACCATTTCACAGCGACAGAACACCAGTTTACAAAAAAAAATTGATCAAATACGCACTTCATGAAACCTTTCTTTTCTGGTAAGGTGGATCTTTCTGAATAAGAAAAGGGCACTTACAATTTTTGTATGGTACCAATTTTTTTTAAAGTGTAAAAAACGTTTTAGACACTTTTTTAATTTCTAACTTGAGCTGCGATTAACCGATTTTGGTTATAAAAGTTATAAAACCAATTTCGGTTTTTAGGCGTGTATTTTTAACGAAGCCATTTATGCCAGCAATTTTTCGTTTTTTCCCATTTTTTCAAGTTTGACAAATTGTAGCTTCTAAACTAATGAATGGATCTCAACGCTCTGTATAAGAAAGTGAGAGGGCATTCTAAGGTGTGTTTCAAAATTATACACCATAAATTTCTTAAATATTTTTTTTTATTAAAAGTCGTATTAAGGTGATTGTGTTTGTATTTAATCGTTATAACAAAACAAAGAATTTCATGTGAAAACAATATCAAATAAAAACACCTCTTAACGAGGTAAAAAACTAGTGACGATCGCACCTTCAACATACAAAAGTTCTGATTTCAACATACGTGACGAAAAATTATTACACTCGTCATTAAATAGACTTTCTAATATTTTCTCATTCGGCCCGCCCTAGCAAACTATTCCAGCCTTTTTCCCTTCACAGGCATTCCCCCTGCCTTCGCCGGTTCGGCAGCGTGCCGAATGAGAAAATATTAGAAAGTCTATGAACGCTGAGATCTCGGAAACTATAAAAGCTAGAAGATTGACATTTTGCATGCAGATTGTAGGAGTTCCTACGCAGCGCAAGTTTGTTTCAAAACAGTGCCACGCCCCCTCTAACGCCCACAATCGCTAATATACGATTTTAAAAATTTCAATATTTTGGAAAAGTAAAAATGCAGTTTTATTGTGTTTATCAATACCTATCGAAATGTAGAAGAAATTTTTTAAATCGGACCATTCGTTAAAAAGTTACGGCGGATCAAAGTTTTTCTCCATCTCCTTCGCACTCCCTTTAGCTGAGTAACGGGTATCTGATAGTCGGGGCACCCGACTATAGCGTTGTCTCTTGTTTTTTACGTCGTTAAGAGGTGTTTTTATTTGATATCAGAAGTTTTTGTTTGTTTACATTTGCTCTCATAGGAGCTAATATATACATTTAAATTTAAATTGGTCAATCATAATTTGT